GTGTGTTGTTTCAGCAATGGAAAAAAAATCAACCAGAATGTATATGACATCAGTGTTTGTTCAATGAATAAACATTCGTGCTTGGTTTACAGATGGATTTTACTATTCTATATATATATATATATAATAAGTTTACCTGATAAAAGAAGGAATTTCTGAAGACATTGTTGAAATAGGTGTTGTTTGGGAGACTAGATGCTATCTCGATTGAAATGACTGGAGTCTGTTAAAAAAGAACAATTTTATTTTCCTATAACATTCCAGCTTAAGTTCAAGCCATGCTAATATTAAAAAAGAAATTCAGACAAATGTATGCATGGATTCAAATATATCCAGTATAGAATTAATAACTGAACATGTAATAGATGAATAGCTATATTTAGGCGAAAGGAAAAGATATGAAAAAACAAAACAAAAAACAAAACAGCAAGGTTGATATTTCTGGACAACAGCCACTGATTAGGAAAATCACAATGTCTAGCCCACGTAGGATACAGCTTCTGTCTGCTGCCTTGAGCTTTTTCTCCTGTATTATAGATAGGATAAAAATTATGAGGATAAGATGGTGCATTTTCCCAGCACACCTTCAAATCATGCTCTTTTTAATACCCAGTTAGTTAATTGAGTTGAGTTATATTCAAAAACACACATTTTATGAGGTCCCAGTGACCCTGACCTTAAACCAATATTTTTTTAATCCTTTCATCCACAAGAAAACATTTGTGGGATTTTTAAGGAAATCCCGTTGTGATTTTCCTGACATATCAAATGGTATAGACATGATTTCACATAACAAAGGGCCAAAGACTACAGCTTTTAGTTGTTTCACAGTACGCAACAGAGTGAGAGTGAAGCTTTGACACTAACCAGTTTTAGCTTATGCAGAGTGTGCATCAGGAACAGTCCATGCTGATAGACAAGAAACTCTCTGGGCTTCAGGACTGACAGCTCCAAAGGAATCAGCTCACCTTCACATTGCCACTGAGCATCGAGGACATCGACAAAACCTTTGCCTCTGTCTAGGCACCACACAAAAAACAGTACATTGCATTTTAGTGGATTTAGTTAGAAAACAAGAACAACCAAGGTTGTGTTTACCCCCAGATTCATTCTGCAAGTGACACATGGTAAGGGAAAGGAAAAGAAATTCATTACCCCAAACCCCAAATTGAAAGCTATCTCAAAATATTGTTTTGTATGTTCTTGATGTCAATTAGAAAACTTTTTTTTTATTGGTTAGGTTTAATTTAGTTCTATCTGTGAATTTCGATAAGCACATTCAGTGGTTAGCAGATCATCTGTATGTTTGTTTGTTTGTCAGGCCTTGGAATCTTCCGCTTAACCTCAACAAAACCACACGTGCAAAATTTCCCGCATATGTCATATTGTGAATGCAGACTGCATGCACATCAAAGAACACATCTCAAATACCTTTATGTGTGAAGATAATTTAATCAAACTGTTCAAATGTAACTCTGATTCAGCAGGTCTTTCTTCTGGGTTATTTTTATTTATTTATTTATTTATTTATTTATTTATTTTTTACATTGAATGAACATTGTCACAATAACAAAATAATCTTGCCTGATGTACATGGATTTTATGCAACTTGCCAGTAAAACATGCTAATGAAATTTTGAGCCATCGAGATCTTTCAATCAGACTTTAATTCAAACAAATTTTAATTTATTGAAGTCATCACATTATACTTGAATAGAAAACAGAATAATTTTGAAATGAGTTTAATATGTATGGTGCTTAAAACACATCATTTGTAGTCAATCTTTGATGAAGGAACAACTCAAAGTAAGTTCAAATGAATAGATGAAATTATAACCCCTAAAATATAAGACTGTATATTTGTACATGTTATTTTTTTTGTCTAAATACTGTTCATAACTGTTCATAACTGACAGTTAAAGTCAGTCATGATCACTAATGTGACACTTGTCAAGTTAAACACACTGTAGAATCTTCAGCATCACTTATTAAAAGTTTTAAGTGAGTTTATCTATATATTTGAACCTTGATCCATACTTTCTTGATTAGAGAAAATCCTAAATGAATTCAGACTTGTGAACCCAATTCCGGGTTTTTTACTTTGTTTGTTTGTTTTGTTTTGTTTTTCCTCTGCTGAAACACAGGACAAGAGGAGGTAACAGCAAGGTTGAGACTTCTGAGATGTATGATGCTCACAAGGCAATCAAAGAGGGGAAGAAAAGCCCATTGCCAGACAATGGATGGTACAGCTTTGGCGCACCACAATTTAATGTAGACTGTGATGGTTTTGTCTTTTTGTTAGTAGTATAAAAATAATAAGTGAAGCTTTGACAGCAACCAGGTTTAGTCTATGTAATGTTTGTAAAAGTCCATGTTGGAAGTCCTGAAAATCTGTGGGTGTCAGAACTGACAGGTCCAATAGGAATTTTTCCCTCTCTTTGAATACAACACAAGAATTTTAGTAACTATAGTTTGAAGACAAGAAGGAACAAGCTGGTACTTTCCCTATACTCATTCTGCAAGAAACCAGACTGGGAGGGAAAAGACACGAAGACTGAGAGAGAAAATAAAGATTTTCTTCCAAGGACTGAACTGATGCCTAAAACATAATTTAATGTGTTTAAACTGTCTTATCTCATTTAGAATACCTTTTTTTTTTTTGGTTTGGTTCAAGCTCAACACTGTACATACATTGTGCTGCAGACTGTATTTTTAGCACAAGACATCAATAGGTGTTACTTGTCAGTTATTGGAATCTTCTGCTAAACCCCAAAAACCACATCTGCAGTTTCGTGTATCATTTTGTGTCGTGCGAAAATGTGTGTTGTTTCAGCAATGGAAAAAAAATCAACCAGAATGTATATGACATCAGTGTTTGTTCAATGAATAAACATTCGTGCTTGGTTTACAGATGGATTTTACTATTCTAATAACATAAGAATTACTTTATCAACTACTGGTACAAGTGTGAAAATGTGGGACAATGCTGTGGAAAGTCCCAAGCAAGCAAAAAAAAAAAAGGAAATGGATGGAAGGGAAGTTCCTAAACGGAAAAATCAGTAAATGCTTCCTTATCTTATAGTATTGCTATGATGTATTCAGTTAACGGTGTGTGGAGCGTATCAGTATTTTCTCAACAGCAATGCAAAATACAGTTTGCATGTGTGTAGTTGAGGCCGATGCATGATTGCTCTTACTGCTCAGTGTACAGTTATTAAAATTAACATTGTCTTAGCAGAAAAAGTATACTTCTATCTTTAAAAGTACTCAGAAATTAAGAGCTATTAAGACTTAAAGGGAAGCTATCATTAACCAAAGCATTTTCCTTGGGAATTCTTTAGGTTGGTCAGTAGCAGTGCTAATGAAAAGGGAGTGCGGAAGGATATGAAAATACACTTGGCAGTTGGAAGAACATCCATCACTTAGGCTTTTGTATTTTTTTTTTTTAAATAAAATAACTAGCATTTGTTCTAATAAGTTATCAGCCAGAAAAATGTACCACCGTAAAAGCGAGCTCTCAACTAGCTTCCTGTATTGTGGTTAGAGTGTAATGGTCAGTGGTTTTGTGGACTCATTTCGAGTTTTCTCACGATTACTATGAAGAGTTTTCAGTTTGTCCGTCATTTTTATTTTTTAAGTTTTGTAACAATAATAATAATAGTATCTAATCCCACTAACTGCATGTCTTTGGGCTGGGGAGGAAGCCAGAGTACCCAGAGAGAATGCACATGGGGAGAATATGCAGTCTTCTTTGGACTATTACTGCCAGAAGAAGAGGCCAAAAGCTGTGCCAGCAGAGCAAAACACTCCATCTGTTCCCCAGTGACATCCTAATGATACCCAGTCCAAATTTATTCTCTCGGTTAGTTTAACTGTTAAACTGGCTGTATTTCTGGGCTACTCTAACAAGCTTACCAGCTCACAGCAGTAGACACCTATTTATATTTATCAAGAGAATTAAAGTCGACAGATGTCAACACAGTCACTATGCAAGAAAACACCTCCTGGATGCACTGTCACGCATTTTCACTCATGTATCCTGGGGTCATCAGGTGTTTCGGGTCTCGCAACTTGATACACCCTCGCCCAGGCGACCAGGTCGGCGGTGATCAGGCCCCGACTTGCACCATTAGCTACCCACAGATCAGCCCTCTGAAACCACAGCCACCTTGTGGCTTTCTCTGCTGCTTTGCTCACAGCCTGGATGGCCCTCTTCTTGGCTGCCCCAGACACATCCAGCCAGCACAGGACTTTGCAGAGTGATCGCCCTGCAAAACCCCTACAACCCACTTCTATGGGCTCATAGAAAGTCTTCCAGCTCCTTCCCCTGTACTCCTACACTAGTTCCTGGTATTTTGCGTGTTTCCTCTCGTTGGCCTCCTCGATCCCCTCTTCCCAGTTCCAGCATGATCAGATGTTTTGAGGCCTCAGAAATAATGATCATGTCTGGTCGGAGGGATATTTTTTCAATGTGCTGTGGGAACTTCAGCTGTTTACCCAGGTCAGCCTGAAGCTGCAAATTAGGGACGGTGTTGAGGAGGCTGGTTGTTAAATGTAGGCGCACATGGGGTTTCTCTCCAGCCTTAATGTAAGAGATTGCCTTCCTCGGAGCATGATGGTGCTTGCTGGTCCTGATTGATGCTGACAGATGTGAACAGAGTCAAAGTTTGAATTGTGAAAGATTTTACTTTTTTTTTTTAAGTGGGGAAGCACACGTGGAAGGCCGGTAATTCTCTCTACATGAGGAGCCTACTCTGCCCCCCACGCTACTCTCTCAAAACACAAACAAGAGGTCATGGAGAAGGATCATTCAAAAAAATGTTACATCGGTTCTTTTGAAACCGAGTCTGTCATCATGTGGCTGTCTCCATCAAGCTGCCATCAGGATTCAAAATACTTTCTATGCCTTACAGTCAAAGCCCACTCTTCCAGTCCTCTGTGTCTTCCTTATAACACCCTTCCACTTGCTGTGGTTATGTGCTGTCTGCTGCCATTGTGTGGGTGGAAGTGTAGCAGCTCAATGCAGCATAAGAATTGCAGCCCTTCTCTCTTGAATTTGCTCCAGAATGGAAAAATCAGTTTTTGTGAAAGACGAAAGTGTCAATAATTTTATTCTTTTTTCTCAAAGAGAGAATTGCACCTCAGTTTCATGGTTCCGTGTTTTCTTGATATAACAACACTAAAGATTCTGATTCTGATACAACAAAAGTCAGAGTGAAAAATGATGCAGTAAGTGAGTCCATTTTGTCGAAATTTCATTGAAGCTACTCATAAGTTTGGATGGCCCCCATGTGTTTGTATGCATGGCTGACAACATGAGGGCATGCTCCTTATAAGGTGTCCTGGGTTATTTCCTACCAGATCTGGCCTACGGCATTACAAAGCCTCTGGGCAGTCTAAGGTGCAACATGATAGCATCACACGAACTGAAACATAATCTCCCAGAGGTGTTGTATTGGATTTAGATTAGGGTGCAAGTGGGGGTACAAGCAGCATAACGTTCTCCACGGCCTCTCATGTCTGTCTTCATGCTCCGGGTCTTTCTTGGTGCCCTGCCAATTCAGCTATTGTATTGGAAATGCCAGTCAAGGTCCACGGTGCAGGACTGTGAACACTGGGACAACAGGACCCTCAGGGCACCCTCATGAAGTCTGTTTCTAATCATTTGGTCAGAGAAATTAATTCGTGGCCTGCAGAAGTTCACATTGTAGGGTCTGGCAATGCTCATGTGTAATACTTTATCTTTTATGAGTAACGAAAACAACAGTACATAGTATACAGAGTTCATGGTCGACTTAGCGACTGCAAGAAACCCAAGTCTTCTGAGCACAATATGAGCACGAATCATACTCCCACCACCTGTGTTTGGTTTTCATCAAACACAGTGCTGTGCATCATAGCCAAACATTTCTACTGAAACGTTGTGGTTTCTTCAGATACAACATTTAAAACCTAAACCATGGCAGCTGGTTTTTAAACACATGACAGCAAAAACAGAGTGTAAGAATGAATTTTACTTTTTTCATATAACTGTCCACCGATATAACTAATTAGGCTACTGTTTTAAATATTATTTATTCCTTGAATATACAACGAACATCAAAACAATATAAAAATGATCATTGTGTAGAACTACCTATTTCCAATTATATTATATTATATTATATTATATTATATTATATTATATTATATTATATTATATTATATTAGAATCAAATGCATGTTTAAATCCAGAGGATTCTAACAGACTTATTATCTGATTTATATTCAAAATTAATAATCTAAATTGCAACACAGCCAGTAACAAAAACTTAAAAATGTAGGCGAGCAGAAAGTACAATATTATCAATCACAAAACACTGTTTAAGTAATGAACTTAGAAACTTAAAAACATATTTATTATAACATAATGCTGGAAACATATAGTTGCCCTTACAGAACCCGATAGGTGATGTAATGTCGTCATCATCTCTCTTTTTGCATTTCCTGTCCTCCTTTCTTTAAAATCCACTTGTCTGATCTTGGTGGCAGTGCCATTTCCTGTTGTCAGTACAGAGGGGGCTGCAGCTACCTATTCTTGTATGCAGATGTTTTCACACCTGCCTCTTTGAGTTCACACCCTTTGCCTTTTCTCACGCTATATTTCTTCCAAGCCCACATACACAAACAGATCTTGACGTAGTATTTATGATAATTTGTTTTCAGAAATAAGTACTATAGTGTCTTTTACAAATGCGCATACCGACCACCCCTCCTCCTAACCAATAACACACACATCAGCAGCTTGTCACAGTGGTTAGGATAGAGATACTGCCTTTTCAGAAATAAGTATTGTAAGCTGGTACTAACGCACATAGCTGTGCTTATGTGGTAACCTCCATTTGTACCTCAATGGTTACTTTGGGTTGCACTTGACTTTATGTAGGTATGTGTGTGTCAAGCACCGCCATGCGCATGTCCCTTCTGGTATTAGCAAATACACTTCCTTCTTCTAGTATAGTCCTGTGATCCATTTTACCTAATGTATGTTATTATTCACTAAATGTACTTATTGTACTACAGTCTGTGATCTTCTTTTGTCTTTGCCTGTCCTCCTGTAATGCACTCCTGTACTTCGCAGCTCTAAGTCTCAGATCCTCTTTAGGATGTTATCATGCAATGCCATCTGTTGACTGGCACCATAGTAAAGAAGCTCAGCTAGGCGCTGCACTGTGAACCGAGTTTGATATCCATGATATACTTCTGTTATCTGTCAGTTACATGAAGGTGATTATCAACTTGATAGAACAACCCAAGTTTTTCCACAGAAACACAGCTGTTGTTAGCTAACAGCTAGCTAACCTTGATGTAAATACAACAAGCTTTGTTTTATGATCTTAAATAAAAGGTTATAGAATAATAAAATTGTTTAGAGTTTCTTTATAGTTATAACAATATCAATTTTGATGTCACAACGTTTCTGCAGAAGAGGTCTGATGGGAGTTTCTTAATTAAATGGTGTTGTCCTAGAAGCCAAACACACTAACATATGGAGAAAATCTCTCCCACCTGGGCTCCATTAAACAGCAACTAAAACACATGTGGGCATTGATGAAATCTTATCAACTGTTTAATATCAACCTACCCGAGTCACATTATCTGTAACATTTTAGATAAAATATGTGACACACTAGCTAGATGCACAGCAATGATCCAAATGATCTGCACATCTTATTCTTCAAACATGATGGTTGATTCATCTAAAAATATCTAGCTACCACCTGAGCCACGCACACATGCATAAAAACTGCATTTATAGAGTTTACCTTTCTGATTAAAATCAGGTCAGTTAAAGATTAGCTTTCATCTCTTCAGTGCTTGAATGTCTATAAATTACAGTTAATGATTATGCTATCTAAAAGTGTCCTAATGTGAGCTGCTGCATACAGTTGGTGACTGTAATCGAAACAAAAAACTCAAATCTTTCCAACTTACTCGCTAGCTCTCCTGCAAGAAGCCCTGCCTTGGAGGCCCAACCCTTTAGCTGCAGCTCCACACCCTTCAACAGCTGGAACAGAGGAGAGAGCTCCAGCAGCCTTGTCCACTCCTCCTCTAAGAAACAAAGAATGGATGACAGTTGGTATGTCTTATCCCTTGAACATTTAAACTGTCCTATTATGGCATCATATCATAAATACCTGGAACTTTGGGAACAGTGATGTGTGTCGACTGAGTGGATTCTTTCATATGCTGGCTCTCTGTATGAGTAAATTAAAACATAATTGTTATTATTTTGTGACTATTTTTAATTCACCTTCTGACTGAAAATTTTAAAAGGAAGTTGTTAGCATTCTCTGATCTGTGTATTATGAGGTCAGTATGTGTGCTCTGTCTCACCCTGGGAGTGAATGCCAGAAGATCCAGTTTGTCTCTGCGAGTTGTGTGTCACTGCCGAGCTGGCTTGTAGCCCGGTGTCCTGAGATTGAGCAATGTTCCCAGTCTCCCTGAAAGACTGGGTTGAGATTCCTTTGAGAACGCACAAAGAAACGTGTTGAACCATGTGTTTACGCTGCAGAGGTTTAATATGCAAGTTGCTTGCACATTATCTCAGGGTGTGAAAGAAAGCAAAAATGAAATCCTGACTAAAAAAGCAAGAATATTATTAGCGAAGATGAAAAGGCCACAAAAATTACAGATAAACCCTCAGTTGACTTCACCTTTGTGTGAACACATTGCTGATGTTCGGGTAAGGGACGCCTGATAAGGATCTGGTAAACTAAACTTGCTTCATAGAAATACCCCAAGTTAATATTTGGACACAGCAATCAAATACAGTCACAGGAATTAAGACTATTTGTTCTCTTCTTTAAAACTCCTTAGGTTTTAATTAGTTGTTTTTTCCTCGTGCATTGTATGGTATTGCTATGAAAGCATCGGGGGGGGTTGTGTATCGTTCCTAACCCTGGACATAATATGTTTAAATAGAATGACCCATGTTTGTCTCTCGCGCCCTCTGTTCTGTTCTGTGTCTTATTGTGTGTGTCTCATGTTTCCTGTTTTGTTTTGATAGTTCTTTGTTCAGTGTATTCAGTTAGGGTTAGGGTAACAAGGGAATGTTTCTCATTCCCTTGTTACCCTCAGTCTTTTGTCTTTCTCTGTTGTCACACTCTGTCCATTGTTCCTTGTGTTTTCAAGCTTTCTCCCTAGCTCCTTGTCCTGGTTCTTGTTTTTGTTCCTAGTTCCTTGTTCTCAGTTTCCAGTTTTAGGTTTTGTTTTCATATATTTAGTTTCGAGTCTTGCGTTTTGGTCCAACTCCTACATGCTGCACAGCATCTCATGACATCCATACCATATACATAGGCTTAAAATAAAAAATTAAATAAAATAAATACAAAATCAAAGGGGAAACCATGACAAGTGACCTACACAATATGTTGTTTGCTCAATACACATTTTATTATCTTAGTGTTTTCTCTTTTGGGGCAAAGATTACTCCGAAACTTAGCCAGCAGGTACATTTGTTTCACTGCTTTAAATGCTTTAATGTGCTTTTTGGCATATTGAACATATTTGTATGCTTATATGCATTATTTCTACATATACACTCATATGGCACATACCTTTCACGACCGGCACGGAGGCTGTCCAGACTCTAGATGCACTCTCCAAACCATATGCCTGCTTTGTTGACAAACCTAAAACATTAAAAATCTAACTTTAGAAGTCTGTACATTTTTGAATTATGACACAGTTTTCATAATTTTCCCACTGTACGCCGTCACAGAGGATTTTTAAACTAAAGGATCAGGATTAACAAAAGTATAGTTTTAGTTATTTAAGAATTAAAGCAATTTTTGTACATGGCTTGCCCCCACCCCACTCCAGGTCATGTGAGGCCTGCTATTCCCTAACTCTCGGTTCCAAACAGATGATGCAAGGGGACCAGCATTAGAGAAGAAACTAAAAAAAACAAAAGAAATTCTCACAGAGGCAGTAAAAACTTTAAGAGTGCCCAAATCAATAATCTGGTACATTATTTAGAAAAAAAGAACACACTGGTCAGCTCAGCAACACCAAATGGCCAGAACCCCAACAAAAGACAACTAAAGTGAATGATGAGAGAATTATTTCCATGGTTATTAAAAAAACAGGTCAAACAGCGATATGTAGCAGGAGGTAGATGTATCAGTATCAAATTCTACCGTTAAGAGATGCAAATACAGGGCAGAAGACTTTCATCAAGTATTCAAGTATTAAAAACTGATATTTAAAACTTTTATATAAATATATTTAATATTTAGTTTTCCAATCAAAAGTAATAATAAAGTAATAAAATAATTATTCAATTCAAAATTGGTAAGGCAAAATTACAAAAACTATGAAACTGTCCAAAAAAGAACCCCTTCGGCCTAACTGTACTTTATATCATCTAGTATGGTCTAGTCCCACGGTACGATTGTTTTATTTTTAACTTTTGCTGTGTTATTATTAAAGGTGTCAATTTTTATGTCTTGGAAATGTCCTTGAGAGTTTGAAATGCAGAAATATTATTTGTTATTATTGTTATTAACATAAAATGTTGATTTCATTGCTTGTTAAGTTCAACGTACTACAGAGAAATAAGGCTGTCTCAAAGGCCTCTGTTGTTTTGTAGAACATTTTTAAAATGTGGGAGTTAAAATAAACACGAGCTCTGGAGATTGTCATGTTTGATTGTCTTGGGTTGTGGTCATGTGACCCGTCACAGGTGATTTAAGATCCCTGATTTAAGATGATGAAAAGCAGGTGTGCGCAAAATGTCACGCACTGCTAAGATACAGGAAATAAGTTGATAAGTTGAGTTCATATGCTTTTTTGTGTCCTTATATTTTTGGGGGGCCCAATACTTAACTCATATATTTGTGAGTGCATGGATGGTTTTTCTGTTTTATGCAAAGACTTTATATACAAACATCTTAAGCTGGCACATCCAATGGCATGGAGAAAAGCCGAAAATTGCCTTTATTTAACTGGAAACTGTGCTTTCTTCAGGGCAATCTGTAGTATATATTATGTACCAGAGATGTGCTGATTGCATGTGTTGGAGGAGAATCCAGCTGGCTGTTTTTCTTCAAGGAACTGGTTCAGTCTCTCGAGCAGAGGCAAAGCCTTCTGCTGAAGCAAACCCATGATCTTCACATTCGGTTGGTATCCACTGTACTGCACCAGGCCATATTCCTTGAACCAAAACTTCCCACACAGTACAGCCTAGACAGTCGAGCAGAAAAAGATAACTGTTCCAAGCATTTATCCAACAAGAGTCCAATCTTAAACCAAGGCACCTCACTGTCTTACTTTTACTTTCTAGTTTACCTTGAAGACCTAGAAGGATTGTTAAAATGACCCCACTGTACACTCCTACAAAGTTTTATCAAAGATTTATCAGAATTGATTTAAAAGTTTATGAGTTGCAAACTCTACCAGCAAAGCCATAACTTTGATGGTGAAGAGATTAAGCTTGCTTTCACCTCACTTTGGCTGTTTACTAAAGGTTCAAACAAAACAGAGAGCAAAATAAAAGATAAAAATATCTGTTCTGTTTTCTGCTATTTTTATTTCTTTTAAGGGGTTTATTTATATTCAGTGTTCTTTATTCACCTGAGCAGTGTCTGCACGGAGCAGCGACAGGTGTCTGACAAAGTGAAGTGGATTAAGAGCGGCCTCCAATTCAGTCTGTCTGGAACAACACTGCTCCACCAGCTCTCTCTGTCTCAGCTCTCTGTCCTGCAGGAAAAATAATGACAGCCTTGTTATTTACAGTGTTAGAGAGTGCTTTTCACAGCAAAGAGCTGGCGTTAAAGTTTAACTACAAGACGTTCCAAACCTCTCTATACCATACATTTTTTACTGCTGGCATAAAAGAGGAAGTGGCCTAACGGTGTCACTCATTTACACAGCTGAAGTGATAGCAATAACCCATAAAGCAACTGTTCTTACTGTAGCATAATGGTTTGTAGACCAATCTCCTGCCTGTGCCATCCATTTTTCCTGTTCCTCCTGCAGCTGATCCATATACATGTCCAATTTATCAAGGCCAGAGAGGAGCTCTGAATGCCAAACACACTGCTGATCCCATTCCTCCTCATCACCTGTTCCCACAGATGGAGAAACATAAGCTTAAATGCCTGCCAAACCAAATAAAAAGAAAAATACTATTTTAATTAATTAGTGTGCTGTGAGACACTGGCAAGAAACCACTCTCCTTTGGAAAGCTATGAATATAAATGCACTGCAGGTCATGACTATAATTTCCTTCGTGCTTTCATTCACTCCTACCAGCTTGCCAAATAATTGACCTAACGTGAGGATGTGCAGAACAAGTGGAGGCAGGATCAGAGCCAAGCGGGAGTGCTGAGCTGCTCTCCTCTGGGCCTCTGTCTGTGCTGAATCCTGCAGCTCCATGGCTGCTTCCCTCAGCTGCTTCCCAGACCACTGGGCCTGAAACAGAGTACAGACACTGTGAATGAGAAAAAGATGCACATATTTGCACAATGACACTAAAAAGCCAAATGCATGCACATATCCCCATTCTAAGGTGCAGAGAACAGACACACACTTTCATATCTTCATGTAGAGGAACATTGAGGAGGAACAACATTTTCACTTGCAGTGCAGGGAAAGAAATTGAAAACTTTATTTTCTAGTGTTTGCTCCCGATTCATTTGCATTATTTGTAAATGTTAAAACAGCTCAACCCCTTTGAATTTCTTGCTCTATACTTCGAGTTAAGGCTCTATAAGATATTTAGAACCAGAAAGGAAACCGCTCCTGCTGACCTGATAAGAGTTTACGTCTGTGACTCTAAAGAAACACTGGGACAGAGTCGAGTCCAGATCAGTTAGAATATCTTCCTCCCGCTGCCTCTGCTGCTGCCAGTAACCGTTTCGCACACACACCTCTCTTTGAAGTGCCTCCACCTGGCAGGAAGAAACAAAAATATATATATCATATCAGATATCACATCAGAAGAGGGGGGCATTTGTGAAAACACCTATCTGTTACCTGCACACTGTCAGTTTGCTCTCTAATCATTAACCAGTAGGAAGATGTAACTGGCACAACATTTTTTCTAGACGCATCCAGCCTTGCCCCGACGACTGGGGCCAACAGCCCTGTCACTGGGTCAACAGTCTGAGATCCATAACGGATCGCCACCAGTCCTGTGAAGTATAACAGCATCAGTAAGCAGAACTTCCACAATTCTGTAATGTTTAACTGAATTTAATTGGAGATCATTTATCTGAAATTTCCTGAGTAGGACTAAACTTCAAACGCTCCTGTGCCAGTTCTTGGTTTAGATATGATTCACCTGCACTACAAGCTGTTAGTTCTCATTCTCACCCTTCTTTTTTCAATTAATTCCTCTGTCATTAGTACAGGGAGTGCAGAATTATTAGGCAAGTTGTATTTTTGAGAAATAATTTTATTATTGAACAACAACCATGTTCTCAATGAACCCAAAAAACTCATTAATATCAAAGCTGAATGTTTTTGGAAGTAGTTTTTAGTTTGTTTTTAGTTTTAGCTATTTTAGGGGGATATCTGTGTGTGCAGGTGACTATTACTGTGCATAATTATTAGGCAACTTAACAAAAAACAAATATATACCCATTTCAATTATTTATTTTTTACCAGTGAAACCAATATAACATCTCCACATTCACAAATATACATTTCTGACATTCAAAAACAAAACAAAAACAAATCAGCGACCAATATAGCCACCTTTCTTTGCAAGGACACTCAAAAGCCTGCCATCCATGGATTCTGTCAGTGTTTTGATCTGTTCACCATCAACATTGCGTGCAGCAGCAACCACAGCCTCCCAGACACTGTTCAGAGAGGTGTACTGTTTTCCCTCCTTGTAAATCTCACATTTGATGATGGACCACAGGTTCTCAATGGGGTTCAGATCAGGTGAACAAGGAGGCCATGTCATTAGTTTTTCTTCTTTTATACCCTTTCTTGCCAGCCACGCTGTGGAGTACTTGGACGCGTGTGATGGAGCATTGTCCTGCATGAAAATCATGTTTTTCTTGAAGGATGCAGACTTCTTCCTGTACCACTGCTTGAAGAAGGTGTCTTCCAGAAACTGGCAGTAGGACTGGGAGTTGAGCTTGACTCCATCCTCAACCCGAAAAGGCCCCACAAGCTCATCTTTGATGATACCAGCCCAAACCAGTACTCCACCTCCACCTTGCTGGCGTCTGAGTCGGACTGGAGCTCTCTGCCCTTTACCAATCCAGCCACGGGCCCATCCATCTGGCCCATCAAGACTCACTCTCATTTCATCAGTCCATAAAACCTTAGAAAAACCAGTCTTGAGATATTTCTTGGCCCAGTCTTGACGTTTCAGCTTGTGTGTCTTGTTCAGTGGTGGTCGTCTTTCAGCCTTTCTTACCTTGGCCATGTCTCTGAGTATTGCACACCTTGTGCTTTTGGGCACTCCAGTGATGTTGCAGCTCTGAAATATGGCCAAACTGGTGGCAAGTGGCATCTTGGCAGCTGCACGCTTGACTTTTCTCAGTTCATGGGCAGTTATTTTGCGCCTTGGTTTTTCCACACGCTTCTTGCGACCCTGTTGACTATTTTGAATGAAACGCTTGATTGTTCGATGATCACGCTTCAGAAGCTTTGCAATTTTGAGACTGCTGCATCCCTCTGCAAGATATCTCACTATTTTTGACTTTTCTGAGCCTGTCAAGTCCTTCTTTTGACCCATTTTGCCAAAGGAAAGGACGTTGCCTAATAATTATGCACACCTGATATAGGGTGTTGATGTCATTAGACCACACCCCTTCTCATTACAGAGATGCACATCACCTAATATGCTTAATTGGTAGTAGGCTTTCGAGTTTATACAGCTTGGAGTAAGACAACATGCATGAAGAGGATGATGTGGACAAAATACTCATTTGCCTAATAATTCTGCACTCCCTGTACATGGGGATCCGCCAGGCCCGGGAGCTGCTGCCAGTCTCCTCTGAAGCCTTCCCCAAACTGCAGCCTCAGTTCATACTCACGCCACCTGCCATTATCTCCTAGACATGCTATCAATTCTAAATTAGGATGCAGTCCTAGCTAGTGAAAAGCCAATTAGACAAGATTAGGTTTTATACTATATATCAAAAGCATGTTTTCACAATACCTTTTCCATTTGGGTCCTCCATGGTCCCTGCCAGGGGTATTGTTTTCCCAGAAACAAGATCAGTCTGAAATCCCAGGATCGGTACACTAAGGCCAGATCCTAAAGGATCAGGATACTCCACCCCTAGCAAAGCCGGTACACATATATCTGAACCTGGCAGAGGCATCTCTCCTGGTATGAACAAAACAGGAGCGTGTTGTAGAAGAAGAAACAAATGCAATCATTCAAGTTCTGTCAACTAACATATTTCTATCAAGGCTTTTTAACCAGTGTTAACAAGAATAAATTTTTACATTCATTACACATAAATGCAGACAAAACCTTTTTTAAATGAAACATGATCATGATTTCTCGAAACATCTTACAAAACATGTTAAACATCATGAGAAGTGAACCTAATCACCTTAATGATTATCAAGGAAAAAAGGTCAAACACTGCAGTTGTGGCAACTACAATGGGAAAGTCAAAGAAACTCACTGAAGATCTACAAAAAACTGTAGATTTATATAAGTTTATATATAAATCTACAGTTTATATCTACAGCAGCTGTAGATTCCAAGACTTCAACAACTGTAGACACAAACAATTGTACATAAGAGGAAATAAAACAGCTCCACCCAGAGGAAATTGGTTTGTTCAGGAACCATAAAAGCTCAACCAAACTCAGCCATGAACTGGAAACTTCTGGGACACCAGCATAACTGTTTCCAGTCAATCACAGTGGTGGTAGCATCATGCTGTGGGGTTGTTTTGCTGCCAGTGGTACTGGTACATTGCGCAAAGTGGATGAAATATTGAAGGATGGTTACTTCAAATTCTTTAACTTCACCTTAAATCAACAGCTAGGTGGTTGAAACACGAGGGAATATGTATATATTTGAGCCTGAATACATTTTTGACAATGTGTGGATGTCAAAGGCCAATTCTTGTTTTTTAAAGTTATTAAAAATGTATGCAGTATAATAGTTCCACTGTGGAAAAGGAAAAATTGAAAAAAAGAATTAAAAATGCCTAAGTACCATGTTATTCGAAAGTTTATATAAACTTCTGACCACAACTATTTATCGATATTGAAATCCATGCCATAAAGTTCCCAGTGCACAGTTTCTGTGCTGATGTTAATGTCAGAGAAGGTTTGGAGCTGTGCAGTTATTGAGCAAGCAGTAAGTAGCTCACCACTTAAAGACCTCGCTCTGTAAGTTGACATGGTCTGACACTTCATGACTGTGTTGTTGTGGTTGTGGTACACTAATGCCACTTACAGTTTGTCATGTCTAGGGGGGAAGAAATGTCTTGTTGCAACCCGTTAATGTAAACTACTCAAATTCAGTGAACTCTTTATAAAATCCCATTCTTTTATTAGCATTTTTGTAGGTGCTTCATTTTATGGAGCTGTGAGTGTGGGACTGAAAAACATCTGAATTCAAAGATTAACATGTAAACGTCAAAACTCTATGCAAAGCCTTTCTGGGATTTCTTAATACGTGTAGTTTCCTATTGTGCAGGAAACTGTTTAACTTCCTCACAAAGGCTGCCTTTTGGTTTTTGGCCTAACACTCTCTCTGGTTACCAATCAGCCATTTCTAATTACTTTGTACTACTGGAGAAACACGTTTCCATGCCTGCAGGAGACTGCAATACAAACTATGTAAATCAAAACTGGATTATTTCTGGCTCTTGTGCATACTGAATTATAAATATGCTTTATCTGCAGCAAGGTAATATGTTTCTTTTACATAACCAATAGCAGCAAAAGGTCAAGCATACTTCTCGGCACAGCAGCCAAATTTAGCTTAGAGGTTTAACATTACTTAGGTTAACTAGAGGTTTGCCTGTCTGCTGTAAAAAGTTAAATGTCTCTTAATTTCCAGTTAAAAAAAAAAAAAACAGACACTGGCCATTAAACTAACAGTCACTTTCATTTCTCAAATTGTGAAAAATCTGTTATGTTTGATTCTAACCGTTCTCTAATAATCAACACATGAACGATATCACCAAAACACTTTTTCATAAGTTTTTTTAGGTCAAGGTTTTTTAATTCAGGTTGTTTTCGGTGTCGGAAAAAGGTCATATGAAAAAAGTGAGGCATGAGTCATTCTCCTTGGGCTAATGACTCATTTCCAAAAGCCATATTACGCTTCAAATTTTATGGGTTATTAACGTTGTTCCACTAACGAGGAGCCAATAACTGAAAGATGTACTCAGTCCTTAGCAAATGCTTTGTGTTTTATTTATACATATATATATGTGTGTGTGTGTGTGTGTGTGTGTGTGTGTGTGTGTGTGTGTGTGTGTGTGTGCAATATCTGCTTTGTTTTATCTATCTATTTATTTATTTGTTTGTTTGTTTTTTTGAGACAGGCTCCTTGTGATATATAAAGGTCGTGTAAAAAAAAAAAAAAACAACTTTAACTTAGTAAGTGTCATTGTCCTGGAGCTCTTCTTCACTTCCAAAGCCTAATTTAAACTTTGAAAACAGACATGGACAGACAAATTACCCATGAAATGTTTCTCCTTTGTTTTCAGCAGCAGTAGATATTTACTCACTTTTTATAGAAACACCCAAAAAGCAAATCAAATGGTGTGCATATTCCTATGTGCAATACGATAAATAAAATGGCTACATCTTCCTGTTTTCAAAAGCATGGACTTTGAGGGGTGTGTATCACAATGGGCTGTGCAAAAATAAACGTGGGTTGAACAAGGTTCATTTTAGGCATCTATAATTTGGAATTGAGTGTGACTCAGGCACCCCACACCTTGCAAACCTATGATTCACACCACCACCATTAGTTCATATTTGCGACATGATGGTAGGGATGATTCACACCACTAACAACAGTTCACAGTTATATGAAGTAATTTGTCACAGAAGAAAAAGTGTGACAATGTGAATTGTATTGCCTGTGTGACATTAACCCCTGGTGGGACAAAGGGTTATCAGAATTCAAGTTTTTCCTAATTAATAAATCAAAGAAACCTTCTTTCTTACTGTTGTTTTGTCAAGATTCAATTCTACTCCATTACAAATTACTGGTAACAAATTGAAAAAAAAAAAACTACTATGTTATTTTTTGTATTATTTTTTTGGACACTTTTACTTCTATGATTATCAAAGTTCCGAACTATACTCTCATGCATTTTAAGTATGAATACACTATTATGATGATACCTTTAAAATCAACAGTTCCCTGTTAATGGTGCCAATTAATATCCACACCATTGATTTTTGCAGTAAATACATTAGGCTTTGCATGTCTCTGTGTTCTACTTCTACTAATGTGCAACACTTTTCTGCTTTGGTGATTTTGACCTCAGTCTTAAAAGTAGGTTAGCTCATGAGTTTCATTTTGCACACTTGGGGAAATCCAAGCTGTGGAGCCTAAATATACTTTGACTTGTTTTCACATTTACAGTTTATGTAAATCTTCTTTGTATTTGCTCCCACTTTATCTCTCAGTTTCATTTTCCCCTGACATGCAATTATCAGGTATTTCTCTGCACTGCTACGCTGACGATACTCTGGTGCAGCTGGGTGTTAAAGCCTGTGACCTTAGCATGCTGAGATCACTAAATGACTCACAAGATTAGATCAAAAACAGAATGTCTCAGAAATTTTCTGCAGCTTAATTATATCAGGAAATAAATCCTGTGTTTTGCTGACTCCCTGATGGATCACATTAAGCCCCCTACAAACAAACATAGGTATTGCTTTGATTGTAACTTAAGTTATTTACTAGGGGTGCAACGATATTCGTATCGATATTGAACCATTCGATACAGTGCTTTCGGTTCGGTACGCATATGTATCGAACAATACAAAATTTGTAATTTATTTTATCAACTTTCCTTCTGACGATGCTGTCTGTGTTGAGCGCTCAGTGAATCTGTGTTCGACTACTCCGCCTAGGCTGCACTGTCGAGCGCAGATCCACTGAGCGCTCAACACAGACAGCATCGTCAGAAGGAAGAGCGCAGGGCAAGCTAGCGAGACAGAAGTTAAGCTCTCCTTGCAACATGGATGACCTCCCACCCCATTCAGATCTGGCGTTTGGAATTATTTTGGTTTTCATGTGACGTATGACCCTGAAGGTAAGCGAGTCATGGACTAAAGTAAAACAGTATGTTGGATGTGCCACGCAATGCTCAATTACATGGGTGGGAACTAGTGTGTTAGCGCAGTTAGCTCGTTAACGTGTTGGCCGTCCAGCCCCATGCACGGGGCGATCCGCGGTAGCTCGTTAACGGAGATTTGCCGTGTTGTGGCGTCAGTGGCGTGCACAGACATTTTGGGGGGCAAGTGCTCCAGGGGGAAAAAAGGGCACTTTTTGCATATGTGGAAAACCTTTTCTTTTTATAATAAAAAAATCGCACAGGTTAAATGCAATTTGACTTTTATTTTCTCCTTTCTCAGCCTCTTTCCTAGGCATTATGCTTGCTGAAATTAGTAAATAAATAGACCAAAATGTATGAGAACGACTAAGACTGACTGTGGTCATTACAAGAACAGGGCAGAATGGTCGTTTTCACAGGCAATTGGGAACTGCCTATTTTTCCTTTAGCAAATTAATGTGTTAATGTTGCCAATATGTTACACCAAAAAAAATTAACATGTCTAACCAGTGCTTCTCAAAACTTTTAACATGCACCACCCCCAACACCGTACCCTTCAAACTACCAATAACAACGTCACTGTTCTGTCACAATCAGGTCACAACACAGTGCGTAAATGTCTGCGAGCATCGCTGAGTCAGTAACAACCAGTTAGGCTAAAGACTGCATCTTTAGACAGTTGGACGGTGTTCTAACTTTCTCACAGGAGACACCTACTAAAGACAGTCAAAGACATTAATTTCAATCTTACCAAAGTAGGACAGTAGTTGACGTTAGTTATGGAAAGGCTAATCCACAAAAACGGAGAAACGTCCATAATTCTATTATTCATAATCATGTCAAGGTTTTAGGTTTTTCTGCAGTTCCATCTCTAAAAAGTGTGATGTCTTCCCGTCACTGACTTCAGTTTGAAAACTTTGTATTTATTCACAGATTTCCGTGAGATCATCCTAAAATTTGTAACGAAAAATGGGCTCAAAAGAGCCCTCTGCCTAACGGCATGTAGCCTATAGCATAACGTGATATTTTCAATAGTGTATGCAAAAAGGTCGGAATTGATGGAGAGTGGGGTTGCCTAAATGGTTTAGGTTACATTTTAAATGTGTCGTTTTTTTGTTTATCCATATGGATGGATGGAGGGGGCAAGCTGGCAAAGTTTGTCATGTGCAGTTTCTGACAGGCTACTTCACAACAAAACAATTGCAGGTTGGTCTTAGAGGGCAAACAGAATAATTTCACTCGATTCATGGGTTACCTGACTGGTTGGGAAGGGAAAGAGCTGCCGTGTTGTCCGCCGTGGCTCCCAGTCGCTATAGTTAGCCTACTATGCCTACTCCAAGTAGTCCTATGTCATGCCGCTGCTACACGCCTCACAACAAATGAACTGCAAGCGTGTTCACGTGACACGGTGACAGTGAAAAAGCGACAGGGTTCGGGTGTCTTTGAAGAAGGGGCACAAATCAAGCCATTATTTTCACACCTTTTTAAATCGCGCAGCTTTAAAAAAAAAAAAAAATCACGTCTTTCAAAAGGGCACTTTTTTGGACTGAGGGCAAAAGGGCAAGTGCTTCAGCACCACCTCGTCTCTATCTGTGCACGCCAGTGTGTGGTCTTAACTATTTCAACGAGATTTAACGCTGACAGCACTAGTGGGAACAAACGAATATGACTGCACATTTACGCCAACATCATCCTAGTGCAAAGACAAGTGGAAGCAGACAAAAACAACAAAGCATGCTACTAACTTTACCCGAGTCATTTAGACAGCCGTTAGCACATGATTCTCCTTATGGGGACCTGATATGTTTAATATGCTGCTGAGAATATAGCCCAGAAGAAGCGATAGTATAGCTTTTATTTTGGAAAGAGCATTTCTCTGTAATAAACTCTCTTTTCCAAAGATGAGTGATTCCTCAATCAGATACAGGGCTCGCAATATCGCTAGCCCGACGTCCCGGGGCTAGCGATTTTTCCAGTCGGGCTACCAAAATCTATCTCTGCCCTGCCCGTCGGCTATTGTAGGAAGGAAAAATATATGTCAATGCTTTTGCATTCTTTCGGAAATGTAGCTGGGTAATTATGTCATTGGCATCGGTGAGCCACTGTCAATATGTGACATATTGAAATCGCGTTTGAATTTGCGCTTGTTTTTTGCTTTCACTTTGCAATCGCGCGAACTGTGTATAGAGAGCGACAGCACTGATTGGTGAGTGATGATAATTTCGCACCAATTCCTCTGACATCGTCTTATCAATCGTTAGCTTACTATGCAAACATGACAAGTGAAATCTCCCCGCAGCTTAAACATGTGAGAGGTTGATCGCGCAGAGAATCGCTGAGCTTATGTGAGTGCGTGTGTTAAAAGCAGCAGGATATATATTTCAGTTCTGCTGAGCCAAATAAGACAGGTCAGGGTGAAGAAGTGACAGCCAAAGAAAAGCTTACCACAAAACGGAAAAGTTATGACAAATCAGACTATAAGGCAAAAAGAAAGTGCAGCTTTATGGTTTCATGGACAAAAGAATTTCTGTGGCTGCAATATGACGAGCTAAATAACCAGGGCTGCACATAAGTGGTCCGCAGGTGCGCATTCGCTGTCAAAATAAAAAACACGCACAAGGGTTAGGGTTAAATTTAAAAACTGTACTTATGAGTTAAAATATATAATTTTAATAAATGACAAATTAAAAAGGCATGAACATTTTTTTTTGTATCGAAAAAATATCGAACCGTGACACCAAAGTATCGAACCGAACCGAACCGAACCGTGAATTTTGTGTATCGTTCACCCCTACTATTTACATCAACTTTCAAAAGTAAATACAAAATAGAAATAAATCTATATTTAAAAGATATAGGCCTTTTCACATGTCTTTGTCTCCTCATCCCTACAAATATTTCAACAGCCTCTTCCCCTGCCTCAATTAAAAACTCATTAATTGCCTCCTGAATGTACAGAACTTGGTTGCCATGACTACTAAACAAAAACCAAAAGTAATGACAACATTTTATCAGTACTTACACTTTGGGTGATTTTTTTTAACCATGTTCATCAATTATAAGCATTTTGATTGTTTTATGTTTTTAGTATCTTGTGATCAGAGATGGACAATAACGTGTTTCTGTAATCCGATTACTTTTTCAAGTAACGAGTAATTAGATTACTGTTACTTTCTCATAAACAGGCTGCGTAACTGCGTTACTAAACCATGATTGTTTGTGAGAGTGTCTCATGACAATGACGTACGAGCGTGCAACGTCCATGGCAACAACAAACGTGTGTAGATCACCAATGGATAATATGGAGCACGGGAGAGAGTACGACCGTGCAGCGCTTAAAGCTTGGAAGTACTGACATTACTTTGAGTTTGACTCCGTAAAAAGTGACACAAACATTAGTGTCTGATGTACACTCTGCGTGGGAATAAAACTTTTTTCTACAGAAAAAAATGGAAACTTCAAATCTGAGCAAGCACCGAGCACGCTGTAACGGGAATGTGAAATTCACAGAGAAACCCCCAGATCCCCCCACTGACATGACCGCTGCAGCACCACACCACACTCCTGCTAAACAGGTGAAACTAGATGTAAAAGTGACAGGATTTTGTGCTGTGGAATCTTTGGTTTTATTTATTTTTTGCTGTCTTTTACTTGCATCTATTTGAAAGAGTGAATATAAACACAAAACATTATTTATATGCTCGAATATGCAGAAAATAGGTTTAAATGTTAAACAAATTTCTTCAGGTGAAAAACTGTTGCGTATAATTTAATTTTTGCTTGATGCAGTGTGCATAAAGTTAAAAATTAAAACTAAGTAATCTAAGTAACTAAGTAATAAGTAATTAATTACTTTTGGAAATAAGTAATCAGTAAAGTAACAGGATTACTTTCTTGGAGAAGTAATCAGTAATTAGTAACTATTACTCCTTGCATTCTTGTGTAGGTTGTAGAAATAAAAGTAAAACTGTATGCTTATGCAACCTTCGGTTGTTCTTGGCCTCTGCACAGAACTGTGTATTTCAGCGTTCTTACCATTTATATTTGCTCCAATATCAAGTCTGAATCTCTCTTCTCTGAGAAATGACTTCATTAGATTTTCTGAAGTTAGTAATAAGTGCATTTCAATATGCTGAGTAAGAGACCAACACCTCGTAATTTTTCCTTTCAGCAACCAGACTGTTTGTGGAAGATGGTGAGCAAAGATTAAGATGAAAAGCAAAAAGGAGATTGAAATGCTAACTTTTTTTTTCCATGTGGAGAAATGTATTTTTAGTAAACTTAGAGAAGCTAAAAGTTTAGAGAGCACCTAAAGGTGAAAGATAAGAGCTTCTCAAGAGAGAAAGAAGCAACAACAAAAAAAGGAGAGAAGAAAAAATGTTTTTTTTTTAAAACTGTTTTGTACTGCCCAAAACAAACTATTCAAGTATTTCCTCACCCAGAGTCCCTCCATCCTGCTGCAGACCCATGGACCACTCCTGCAGGATCTCCAACCTGGTCTGCAGCTGTAGTTGACAGTGCAAACTCCTCCCCCAGGCCTGCTGGAGCTCTTTGGCTGCAGTGAGAAGATGATCTTGTTGACTACTCCCTCTGTCACTGCCAGGTTGGGACTGCACATGTTGCAAACTTTGATCTGAACCCCACTCTTCAGTTAGTGGCTTCAGCACATTCAGTACTTTGAACAATGCTGCCAGAACCTGTGAGACACAAATCTTACTCTGACTCCAAAAATGTTTTTATTTTTGAATCAAACATCTGCTATTATCTGTTTCATTTGTTTTGTTACATAGAAACAGTTACTTTTTATCATATCGATACTTATTATGTAAATGCAACCAAAAGCAATCAGTCTAATTAAGCACCTTGCTTTCTAATAAAGTTTGATATCCTCCTGCATGGGGCACTAGTTGTCCAGCCCGTATGGTTGCCCCTCCAACTCTCACCATCTGCCCACTCAGTGGTTCAACAAAGGGCTCACCCAGCAGGACTCCACCTACTGGCAGCACATCTCCTACAGAGGCACACAGAACAAGTTTGTCTGACTGAAGTTATGTACTCTAGAGTGTAACGGGAACTCCAGCAGCTCTAACCTGTGATTGGATCCAAGCTCACCCCGACGGTGAGCACAATGTTCCCTGTCCTGGAGTCCAGCATAGGATAACCAATCTGTATAGGCTGTGGTAAGCGGGTGAGAGGGCAGACATGGATTCTTCCCAGAGTGTAGACTAACCCAGTTTGGGGGTGAATGGTTACTGCCAGAATAGGTACTGGGACCCCTTTGTCAGGGTCTGCCATGGGAATCCCCAGCTGCAGTCTCTGGCCTGGTCGGAGGCCTCTGAGGTGAGTGCTGGGGAGAGGCTGGTCTGAGTGGCAGGAGGTCGGGTAAGGAATGAAAGGAAGGAGAGGACTATCCCACTTCCTGTTGTCATCTGGAATCATTTAAAAACAGCACATAATTGCTTTTTAATGCAGAGGTCTCAGACATGTTTCATGAACCATATGAGCCCTTCTTCAGAAATCTTTAATGCGTGTCATAAGTTATTTTCCATGAGCTATTTTTAGCATAAAATGGTAATATTCATTTTGATTCAGTTCATTGCTGCTTGAAATGACCAGGATCCCAGTGTATTAGGTTTTCTATTTGTAGAAACAGCATGTTTTGGTCAGGTTGTAACATGTTTAACACAAATGATATGTTCTTCTTTATTAATTGTATTCTAATAGCACGGTTTTAAAAATGACTCTTGGTGAGTTTAGATTTATTCATCTCTAAAATACAAAAGATTGCCATTGGTGTTTTGTGTTTTCTGAGCATAAACACAAGATTGATTGATTGGGCTCTTTATTTATTTTTTAAAAAAAAGTCTGAACTAAGTTCACATGAAATCTTTTTTCTTTGACTGTTTTATTTAGCATTGCCCTCCTCAGTAACCCACAGCCAATTCATACCTGTACAATGGTCAGCTGTGCAAACTAATGTAGAGCTGGCAGGATCATAGGCCACGTTTCCAGCAATGGGCAGAACTCTACCGGTGTGTGGATGAACAAAGAAATTAGGCGGCACTGCCATCGTGTGGCCGCTGCTCAGCAGCACATGGCTGTGAGCATTTGGCCTTATGAGGCCTGTGACTGAATCACAATAAACAGCCCCAGAGACACGGACGGACCCATCAGGATCTGGAGTTAAGCAGAAGAGGAGATTATTGTGATCAATCATCTAAATAAAATTTTCATTTAAACCCATTCACACTGTTTGTAAATTTAAATCCACAGCCTTATGTGGCTACACAGCTATGTTTGATTTACAACAAAAACATACAGTGTATTTATTGGATACATCATCTAACATTTAGCAAATTAATAATGGCCTGTATTTGTATAGCGCGTTACTTAATCCCTAAGGACCCCAAAGCACTTTACACTACATTCAGTCATCCACCCATTCACACACACATTCACACAATAATGTATTCTAACCCAGCTTTTCTCAGCCATAGTCTGTCTGCATGTTGCAGTGCACCTAATAAGCAGCAGATGGTGTAGTTTCTTTAAGAAACATAGGCGCAGATAAACAAATGAAAGAGTTTTGACTCACCAAAGATGTCATCTTTGGTAAGGACAGTTCCAGTATCAGGGCACAACAGTTTGGCTCCTATACCTTCGCCCAACAAGCCCCAAGACCCCTGACGGTGGCACTCTGCCGACAGTAGATCTCCCATCTCATCGACCAGTGATGTTAACCTCTGGATCAAACTGAAGATGGGAGACAGCAAATTGAATATTCAAGGGAATTTAAACCCTTAAACTCTAAGGTTCCCCGTTACTACAGTCATGTGGAAAAAGAACGTTTTCACAGGACTCTATGCATGTGGAAAACGACATACATCCCACAATTCAAAAGCTTGTAGAATCACTTTTTAACCTGAATAAATTGATTATTAATAATTGAGTATTCATTTATGGACAGCTCTTTTAAGGTCCCACCCTTGTATTTCACTAAGGACTTTGATTTGCTAACTGCACCGCCTTCTTTTCTTTTTCATCCAATTTCTTGTACCTTTGCTGCTGCACTGAAAATCATTGTCCTGTTATGTTACCCAATTTCAGCCATCTATGTTACCATCTAGAGTCTACTCAAAGACTGCAAGTTGCCTAGATCCTGTTGGTGCAAAACAAGCCCAATTATCACCCCTCCACCCCTGTCCTTGACAGTTAGTATCAGATGATTGTGCTGATATGCTGTGTTTGGTTTCCACCAAACATGGTGATGAGCATTATGTCCAAACATCACTACTTTGGACTCATCAGTCCAAAGGACAGTCAGTCAGTTCTATAAATTTTAATTGTGCTGTCATAAACTTTGAGGTCTGTAGCGTCTGATATGTGGCTCCTGGGTTTTTTGGTCAGACCCTGGGGTGAATTTGTTGGGACCTCCACTGTTGGGGTACTGAGTAAACACACACCTGGCTCTTTCTTTTTCACATGGCTGTACTTGAATAACTGAACAAATGAAAGCTTTACATTTGTTGGAACAGTTCAGTGGAAGTCTGGTTGTTACTATAAAGCTTAGACAGTAGTCTGGTGCACTCTCTGAGCCGAGATGTGAACACACTGTGGATCCTCCACTGGGCCTGCTGCTCTCGCCTCAGAACCTGAAGAAAACCAGTCATACTTGATCATGTATACCTTGCTAATGCAATAATTTTACATCTGAAAGTATATACTTGTTGAGCGATGCTATCTAAATATACTTTACTCAATCTGATGCTACACTTGCTATTAAAACTTTTGTTAAAAATTTGAATATAATTTGACATGTATATGCAGCTTAATAAAATGTAAACCTTCAGCTGACTGTCAAGTAGTGTCCTCAGCTGTGAGGCCAAAGATTTTCGTCGCACCACCTCTCGTTCAATCTCCCTCCTCAACATCGCATAACCTTCCCCCGGCTTTTCCTCAGCGATCATACGCGGATGGAGTATTTGCAGTTTCCCAAGCACTCCTTGGTATAGCTCTTTTACCTAGATGAACACGTATTTTGGAGACAAAAAGAAAACATTAAGTGTTTGTCATAAGCAGATAATCTATTGACAGCCCAAAGCAACAACCACACATTTAAATAGCACTAGTGAGAAATGCAAGCTGCAAGAAGTGCATCAGTGCAAAATGTTCCATCTCCACTTACATCTTTAACACCTGAGCTGCCCTGAGGGCTGTAACCAAAATCTGTTTGTTTTTTTAATAACTTAACTTTTCCAAACATTCCCAAATTGCTCTTTCTCAAATTACACAAAAATAAGATTCTCTCTTCCAAATGTTCACTACAGCAAATATTCTGTTTTGGCAAGAGATGGTTCCCAAAGCGTGCTGGATGTAGAATGGCACATGCTGTGAATTCTCCACAAAATGTCCTGTTCAATGGGGCATTACTGAAAGTTTGTACTCGGGAGCTGTTAGGTTTTCCAATCAGACTGAATCAGACATTTGTATTCTTCCCTGCAAAGAAGCTTCATTTTAAAAAAGAAAAAAAAAGACACCTGAGGGCTAAATTATTTATTGCCTATTCATAAACCAATAATATAGGCATATTCAATATGCAGCTTTTATTTTAAGAGTGCAAAAGAGAATACTCTTTTGTCTGGTGTGTTTCTTGAGAGAATAGGCATGAGTGTGTGTGAGTGAGACAAGAGAGTAAGCGTTTATCATTTGACATGCTTTGTGATTGATTGGCATTTAAACTAACAGCAGCAGACCTCAGTGGTGAGCTGTCCCAGTCGTGTAGTGACAGACAGGCTCTGCTTGAGCAGGAGGCTGTAAAAGGTGTTGCTGTTGAATGCCTCCAGATCCACCTGGTGTTCATAATCCCAGAACTCCTCCGAGGCGTCTGTGGAGGCTGTAAAAAAAGAAAAGGATTACAACAATATAAAAAACTCATCCAACTTATTTCAAGGTGAACTTTGATAGGTTATAGCATTATATGATCTTTTGAAACACGTAAGCATGTTTTGCAACATCCTCTCTACTGTTCATTTACAGACACACAGAAGCCTTGCTAAACATTTCACATTTTACAAGCATGTAGCAGGTACTTATTTCTCCCTTTTAACAGGTATTTTAATATGAAAATGTAACATTTTGTGGCATAAGAATTCATTTTAAATGAAGTAATAAGGTCTTGAGGGAACTCCATAAGTTCCCTAAAGATCACTGATGTCCATGGACAAGCTGTTCCTGGCAGTTCCTAAAGCTTTTTCAGTTATTGTGGAATGATCTGTCTGCCCATGTTACGTTGCTACCCCTTGATTTGGGGGGTATTTTGGTGCTTTTTAAAGCACTTTGTCAAAACTGTGTTTTTTATAAGGGCTCTATAAATAGATTGGATTGGATGTGGGCTGTTTTGATTTTACTATCAAAGAGAAATCAGGCATGTAAAGAGGGTTTTTTTTCAGCAGTGATTGGTTGGAAATTTCACCTTAGGGTCATTGCTGGTGCTACATAAGATGTTACAAGGGTTCTCAATGTGTCAGTGTGTCGTTTCATGTTCATTCAAGTGCCATATGTGTACACTCTGCAGGTGCATTAGTTGAAGTGGAGAAAACCATGCTATTTATGTAATGTATTGGGCTTTAGGGTTTCGACGAATGAGTAAAGTGTCAAAGTGTTTACGTCTACAATGTTCCACCTGGCTGAATGGAGCCTTGAGTTGTTCTCGATTGTTGGTTTCGATGAGTCTTTCTCTGTGAGATCACCCTTGAACCTTTTGATGAGTAGTCATCCATTTGGTAGGCCAGCTGCAGCGAGCGGTACCGTGCTTTGATTGGCTCCTTCTCTGGCCATCCATATTCACGAAACAGGATCTACATAGTACAGACTCATCAATTAGAGTGATACTTTTATATTTCATATATACTTGTGTATGTAGACTAACCAGCATTGTCACACATAAACAGAGGATGACCACAGCTCCAAACATTATTCCTACGGTCACCAGCCAGTCTGGCCGGAGTAACAGGTTGCGTCTCCTACTGATTCCCAACCTGGTCACGTGATGTGGGATGGTAGGGAAGAAAAAGCCAGGCTCATAGCACTGGCCACCCGCAGGCATCACTCGTACATACTGAATAATGAGAAATAAGTAGTTAGAGTATCGTGGCATAGCAGAAAGAGAGAGAGAACTTACTATTTACTTGTTGCTACATCAAGGAAGTTATCGTGTTTGGCTTCACTGATTGGGATTTGTTTTTAAACTACCTACATTACATTGTATAAGAGAGGTAAAGACGAGAGTGCAAGTAGGGTAGATTTATGACAGAAGGACAGCAGAGAGTTTACAAGATAGTAGTGAGAGCTGCTATGATGCACATTTTGGAGACAGCAAAGAAGCAGGAGGCCAAGCTGGAGGTGGTGAAGCTGCTCAGATTTCTGTTGGGAGTGACTAGAAGGGACAGGATTGTAAATGAGTACATCACAGAGAAAGCTTAAGTTCAGCATCTTAGAGACAAGATGGAGATGGGCATGGGCATGCAGAGGGTTGATGTGACGGAAGAGGATGTAAGGGATAGAGAAAGTGGAGCAGCCAAAAGAAGAAGAAGACTTAAATTTCCTTGTTTGATGGAACAAATGTGGATTACCTAATAGCTATTTACTAACAAGGTGTAGCTGCTTATAACACTAGCTTCATGGGGTATGCTTAAAGAACACAGCTGCGGTCAGAAGCTAACATCCACTCATCATGTGCATAAATGTCGTGGCAATTTGGGCTTTTAATGATTTCTTTGAACTGTTCTTTTCCAGGGTGACATGACTGTACAGCATACATGTTTAATGACTTTAAAAACAAAGAATCTAGTGCACAAGCTTGAATTTCTTTTGGGTTATCTCTAATCCACACAGCGTCAAAAGCAACATAAGACTTCAAATATGTACATACACCCACACTACTATTTGGTTCATTGCACCTGAAGCTTTTGGTAGCCAACAGCAATCATATGGCATTTTTCCCTCTGGATATTTGACCTCTCTTCTTGGCAGAATAGTTAATTTAGACTGGTTGGTTTCCTGTCAGGAACAAGCTTTTAATATATTCTACAAATGTTCAATAGAGTGGAGGTTGGGGCTTTGGGAAGGTCATTGCAGAAGCTTAATGTTAGCCTGCCTTATCCATATCAAACCCAGTTCTGATGTGTGTTTGGGGTCATCAATGGAGCACTCGACTCTGTCCAAGTTTCAACCATCTAGCTGCTGATCTGAGGTTGAAGACCTTGGAGGTAGTCCCACTCTTCACAATCAGTTCAAAGAAATCATTAAAAATCCCCAAAATAACCATGACTATGATGAGTCCTTAAACATCTGAGCTTAACTGTGTATTTTTGTAAAGTTTGTTACCAAATGTTTGTGCTGATGGCTGCTCGGTGTAAAGACATATACTCCCGGCTGGCTAAAGACCACAGCAAAGCAGCTAGGAGGAGTCCATGACAATGTCAGCTCTTCTTTTAACTGTCTGAATGCGCCCCAGTCAAAGTCAGTGTTTGTGTTGTACAAGTTGTCACTGAAAGACATAAATAAGCGAGTTGGGAGAAAATGTACAAACAGAGAAATGGCAGGAGAAAATGGGCATGAAAACAAGTATCCGGCTTACATGTCATACTGGGGATAGTGACGTGGGCTGACAGTGAAGAGTATTACATCACCCAAATGGAGACATGCTGTCGGGTTCAAAACGCCACTTATGCTTGGCCTTCTTCCTTTTCCATTAATATCAGCCTTATCTCCTCTCTCCATTTCTGTGTCTCCATGACTGATGTTTCTAATACTGACATAATGTTTCCCTGAAAATCCACAATGCGGTGCCCTCATTATTGCAGCAATTACTTGGGTAAAATTGCTCATGCATTCATTTGTGTTTTCATGATGTGAAAAGATTGTTTTATTATGGCACACCAGCTGAGCTCTGAGAATCCTGTTGAGCGGTGTCAGGAAACAGTCGCTCAAGTTCCTTTGGGAGGCCGCTGAGGAGGCCAAGGAAGCCTGCATCTGCAATCAGACAGGAAGAAGACAGATAGATGGGGGGAGGGTTCTCAAAAAGAGAGAGAAAGAGAGGGGGAGCTGCAAAGCGATAAAGTGCAGGACATAAAAGGCATTGTGTGCGGCTGCGTCTCCACCTGTTGTTTGAACAATGTAGACAGGACGTGATGACTGGATCTGGCTGCTGCACTGCAGGTTCCCTTGGGAGTCCCACTGTTTAAAAATTGTCTCTAGCACACTGCCAGAGATGCTCGACACCTGAACACACACAATAAGTGTGTTTGCCATTAATAGGTCACTGCAACACTGTCTGCAGCTTTCTCTTTTGGAGAAATAAAGAGGTTTTCGCATAGATGCGTGCATATTATACCTAAAAACTGTCCATCATATGATAGTTTCAGTGTAAATGTTACATTATATAGTTATCGCACAGTTTTTGTGCTTCAGTGCATGAACCTGCAATTTCCTTTCTTCACCTGATTGTCATAGCTCCACACCAGTCCCATTTCCCCATTGGTCTCGCACTGGAGCTTCAGTTCAGCAGCTGGCCTGCTCCTGCAAAGGCCTCCACATGCAGCTCTTCCAGGAGGCTCTCTACAAATACACAGGCCCAGCTCCCCATCAAAACCCCGGTAGTCCTCTGCAGTATGGCACACCTGCAGGAAAAAGGCAGAGCAAGAATCAGCTCACAGTTTTTAGTGGTCTCCTTTCTAAACAGAAAGAACAGTGAAAGCATTGCTAATGAAGTTAGAGTTTCATGCAGTAGTTAATGTTTAATGCTAAGTGGACTTAATATGAGTCTGTGCTAGGTAAACTATTGTCAGGTTCATGTAAGAGAGGGCAAAGACATCTGGTTTGTACTCATTAGCCTTGCTTAATATGTTTAGTCAGTGTGTTCTGTAAACAGGCTGCAGTTTAAAACTGAACTTGTGTCACATATCTTGAGCATGAGTTTCCTGTCTAATGTCATTTTGTGGCGGAACCTTTGCCCTACTTTGACTGTATACATCTGATTATGACATGATTGCACAATGCATAACCTGCTGACTACAGTGAAATGACCACTGGTGTCTGTCCAGGCAGTCTCCATACTGTGTGCGAGTTTTTCTGTCTCTGCAGACATCGTACTGTTGTTGTACACATTTGTCTCCATTTCCGGTGGTTTGATAGCCGATGGTGCAGTGGCAACGTCCATCACTGGCCTGTGGAAAACTCAGGGGGATAGCAGTTCATGCTGTGGTCAGTTTGTTACCTAATGTTCCAAAGTGCTCATTCATTCATTCCTTCATTCATTGACACACACAGACACACTGCACTTTGAACCTTACTACATATCAGAGTATTATTATTGCTCAGTCTGAACATTGATTTTCCTGTCTTTCCTTTTTTATACAACTGTATACACAAACACCGATATGACAGCGAGACAAATCTCATTTCTGTTAGTCTGAGCTGATGAAAGAATATCTCAACACCTGCGCGCACTGCAGCAGGCTAGGAAATTTGACCCTGAAGTGAGGAAACTTGATCAGAAGCTATTGAGCTTGAAGCTACAGATTGTTCTGTCGAATGCTTCAGAGGGAAAGTGAGGAAGATACTCTGCCGACTATAAAAGTGTTCACACTGGAACACGGCTTTCCTAACACAAAAAAATACAGGCTTGAGAAATTTGAGCTCTTCCTTGGGTTTCATTTATAATGGATGAACTCAAAAGACAATAAAGGAAGTGTGTGACAAGCGCTGTCGAAAGCTGTGATGTGTCAGATGAAGTCAAATGAAAACAATGGGGAGAACACATAGATACACTTAACCCACAATCTACACAAATACCCAGGTGGATCCTTCAATCATGTGAAAAACACTTCAACAAAACAAGGCAGTGAACAACACCTGAAAACTCTGTCCCTCTTCTGGACAGATGCAATTGTCCTGGCCAGGCACAGGCTGCTGAGCCACTGGACCACAGGAAAGTGGGGAATACAAGCCGGGTCTAGGGCAGTAGTGATGGGCAGGACACTTCAGACAGCTGTCCATGGACACAGCTCCAGCATGTGGACCATATGTTCCTTTAGGACAGGGGACTGGAGCAGGGCTCCCCAGTGGGCAGTAGAAACCTAATAGAAACAATAACATCGTGTCACACACACACACACACACACACTATAAAACAAATCTTTTGCCATCCATTTTTCTTTATTCTCTTTATTTTTGCGTTGTTGCAATGTTTTCCAGAATAATGCCACTTTATTATGCACTCAAAACAGCCTACCTGGCTGACAGCGTGGTCTCTCCTGGTTATGTCCACTGAAGTTGTTTCCACGAGTCACAGTTAGCAGCACAGAAGCAAACAGCCACCGCAGAGAAGCTAACCCCATGCATTTGCAAGTTTGCTGCATTGTTAATATGTCCACCATTGAAGTAACAACCAGATGAACATCAATCCCAACTCTATTCCAGACTGTGGAAGGAAGAAATGAATAATTTAATCCATGATCCTTGTTTTCATCATAGACTGGAAAGTACTTCTAGAGATGCTGCAAACCCACAGAGATGCAAGGTAAGTAGTGTGCTAGTTAATCTGCATAACTTTCAATGGCTTGCTGAAAAATTTATAAGGCCAGTAAGGTAAGGTGACAGTAAGAGTGGAGTGACTGGTCACTGGTGGAAAGCAGCAAAGAAAAACAGACTGATGCTGCCTGATCACATTACTGCTTTTGTTCTTCTCAATGCTACCATGATACTGATTAATGATTTGGCTCCTGAGGTACAACAATGCAGCTTTGCTTTAGAGGAGTCTACTGAGAACGAGGTGCGTCTCATCTAAGAGAGGATATCAATAAGATTTTTGTATAGAAATGCCACTGCAGATTCTGCTTACAGGTCAAATTCTTTATTGATTTCCTTATTGATTCCTGAAAAAATGTAAGTCTACATGGGTTTTCAGGGTCAATGCAGCTTCATTATCTCTGAGTTAAAAACAGCGTGGAAACACAGAAGAATAAAGGCTTCCAAGAATCTGGGTTGTACAAAAGCTCCACTGCTCGGAGTTTCACATCATTGTTTTGTGACGTGAGACTGTCAGAAAAACACACCAGCACTAATAAAAGGAACAGAGAATCCAGAATCCTGTTATTTCCAGAATCTTTTTAGCTTGCAACCAGTTCTCAAATACCATTCCCATTCACAGAGGCAACTTTTAAATTCACATAGTATGACAAGTATGGTATGGATAACTGATCAGATCAAGAGTCTGTCATTGTGCAAGCTTTAGCTTCACCTGCCGATGAACCAGTCTCACAAACCTGCCGAATGCTGCGTTGTCCGTGTGTTTACTTTCTGATAGCTGCTGCAAATTAGCTGAAAGTGGAATGAAACTAAGGTCAAGGTCTGTGTGGCTCAAAAGTGACAGATCATTTGCATCAACAAATGCCACTTTTATCTGTGAACTGATTAAACTGCCCATTGATCACCAGTAATCCAGGTTGTTGTTATATAAAGTGTAATGATCTGACGAGTTATTTCCATGCAATTTTATGTAATGTTAAACAATATCATCATTTTCTAGAAATATAAACTCGTGGTTATACATCCATGTGCCCTCAGCTCACCATATACCTGTGACAAGAGTCACATATGCTCAAACTCTTCAGTGCAAAGAGGAGCCAGCAGGTCCATTGTTGTGTACAGTAACCAAAGTCTTTCTCACTCTGTGCTGTTTTTGTAGTGAAATAGATACTGGACTTTAGATCATACGAATAACCTAGATATTCCACTAGGGTAGCCATGAACTATGATCTTCTGATGACTACTCGCAATTTATCTAACCGAGCAGCGTTCAACTTTCACCCACATACGCGTGTCACTGGTGGGAAAAGCCTGCACATTTCACTTACCAAAAAACAGTAAACATAGCCAACAAAGAACTGCTAAATAATATCACAGATTTTATTACCAGCAGCATAAAAATATAAAAAGCAAAAGCAACTCAAAAGTTTAAAAGGACCTCCGCGCTGTTTACATGAGTTGTTTTTTTCTGTTCTTACAAGCAGCACAAACACTGATGAGTAAACTCTTCTCTGTCAAGCATCCAAAGCAATCCATGATAAACTAAAGCTTGGTGAGCTGGTCCAAAACGCATTTCGTTGAACTGTTACACAATTTAAAGACTACAAAACACACAACAAACAACTTTTCGTCGGGAATGATGCATAAAAAGCCATAACCTTGACTGCAAGTCAAACAAGTTACTCAGTGCAAATATTCACGTAGTCTGGGTTCTTGTAAAATGAGCTTTTGACGTAAAAAGACAGAAATCAGGCCAAAGTTCACATGTGTCTGCAAATAACATTGTTAAACTTGTTTGGGTCACCCTAATAAATCCAAACCCCTGCAAGAATTCAAGGTAAAATGTCCACATTTGGGAGGAATGAGACCTTTCCATGAACTATAGACTGACATTTACCTCTTGCATAGATTCCCCAACTTTCTTCTTTTTTTTGCTTTTTAGCATGGAGGTAAGGACAAAGACATTTTAAGGCCTTTTAGAACAAAAGAATGAAAGAGGTACTAAGCAAAGAGCAAATTCTTCGTCTAAACTATCCACTATTCTTCATTTGCACATCATCTGTGCCAACCATCTCAACCTTGCCTCTCTAACTTTGTCTGTCAGTCAGTGATAGACTCATCCTGGTCATGTTCTCATTTTTGGCATCTGCAGCTCAACCTCCTGTGAAGTGAATCTAAAAAAAGTGCCACAAAAAGAGGTTGTTTATCACATGCATGTATTTGAATTCTGGGAGGAAGCCTGAGTACCTGGGAGAACCCATGCTAGCACAGGGAGATCGTGCCAAATAGTGCTAGGCGGTCGGTGGCTTCTCAGACTCAAACTCCAGCACACCCCTGTGCTCTCCTTTCATTAAACAACATGTAGTCATGCAATCTGAACTAGTTCATTATAATGTGAACTTTGAGCTAGCTGCCTCTTGTGCAGTGTAAACTTACCCACTGGGTTTGTAGGCTTTTGTTTTGCATTTTGATAATTACCCTTTTCTTGCTGGGGGTTGTAGCCAGGAGTGAAAATGTTTTTACAAAAGGGGGTAGATGGACTGAAACAAGAGATCCTGTCTAAACTTTGCATGCAAACGCTAAGGTACAGCTGGAAACTAGCACTAGCTAGCTTGGGTGAAAAGGTTTTCATGTAATTCATAAAATGAACATCAGACTTCTTTAAGTATAATCTTGAAAGCTGCTTTTAGGTGCTCCAAATGTTATCAGTCATCTCCCATTACAGTGTACAAGGGGCAAAGGTACAAAACGCTGCCATAAATAGGCCAGGCTCAATGTGTTACTTGAAATAATGGCTTCTCAATCACAAGGTAGCCACAACCTATAGCATACACATCTTACTTACATTTTTCTGCTATAAATCCAACTATAGTATGCAAATTGCATCCCACACTGTATTGAAATGAGTGTCTGAGACCAGAAGCTATTGTGGTATCAAATCAAATGAGAACGAGAATGAGTTCAGTACAGTCACTCTTTATTTTTTCTTTTCACTAGTGGAGTTAGGCTTTGCTGGCTATTAGGGTTACAAGTGTAATACACTTTCAAGCATTTGCAGACGTGAAGGCCATTTCTTCCGTGCAAGGTGTGTTTCTAACTTACTTTAGGCTTTTTTTCACTCAAAATTCCAAAGGTAGTAAAATTCTATCATCAGTGTGACCCTCCACGTGTTGACTGTTGACATAAGCAGAGTTGGGGCAGCTGCTCTGATAACAAGGACTTTATAAGTCAGATGAGATGAGCAGTCAGTCCACACACCCCTGATACTCAGGTAAAGACATACTTACATGCATAATGTGCTTATTTTTGTACTGGAAGAAGAATATATTGAAAAGTTCTTATAGTTATATGTTTTGAGGGTAAAATTCTAATATTTTTCTATCATCTGTCCTTCTACAGAAAGATGAACATGCATTTAAAAGTTGTAATCTTTGCTGTGTCCTTCCTGACAACTTCAGGTATGTTTATCTCCTCCTTTCCTCCTTTTTCTTCATTTTGCCATGTGATTCTTTATTTATGTAGATTTATGCTTTTTTTTTAAACTATAGGATACCCACTACACAGTGACAGCAGAGAGCCAACGTGGTCTGATGGAAAGACCAACCAAGCTCATGACAAGGCAGACCTCACAAAAGATTTGCAGTAAGTTGTCTTCATGAACGACCATATCTTCAGTGTCTAAAGACATATGCAAATATAAATACTTGCTTATTACTATTTTGTAGCATATAACCTGTCTTCACACGTTATAATTCAGTTCTTCTTTCTTGATTTCTGCAGAAAGGTTTACAAGAGCAGCATAGACAGCAGTGCACTTTACAACCAAGAACATGATGTCAACCCTGTGGCAGAGGAAATGCAGCGCAAGCTCGCCATGGAGTCCGAGCGCCTGCGCATCCGTCTGCGTCAAGAGCTGGTGGAGCTGCGAGAGAGGCTGTCCCCATCTTCGGCGCATCTCAGTTCCCGCCTGGCCAGCATGAGAGAACGCTTAACTCCCCTGACTCAGCAGCTCCAAGGCTCTCTTAGTAGCAACAGCCAAGATCTGTGCAGCCAGCTGGGTCTCTATCTACAGGCTTTAGAAACAGCTGAGGCTCAGGAGGAGGCCAGTCCGTCTCTGTATCAGGAAGCCTTCGAGTTAATCAGCCAATCCCTGGAGCACAGCAGTTTTAAGTTTGCTAACACCATCAGTGACTTTTATACCAAAGCAAGTGGAGTGATTGAACATCTGAAACAGACTAGTGTTCGTGAAGAAGAGCCAAGCACATCAAATGTATGGCTGGAAATGAGCTCCAAGTTGGGACAGGAAGTGAGTTCACTTAAAGAGGAGGCACAGAACAGGGTGGAGGCCCTGAAAGTACAGCTTTCTGCAGTGCTACAATCTGCACAACCTCATACAGCAGAAGTGAGAGGTAGCATAGAGCAGTTCTGCCAAAATGCATCCGTGGAGGTCCAAGTGCTTCAAGCTCGAATGGCAAGGCTGTTTACAGGGCTGGAAAAGGAGCTTGGGGTCCCAAGAGCCTCCAGCGTGACTTCTTCTTCATTTTCACTCCAAAGTGGCTCTTTGCGGGAGGACTTCTCAGTTAAGCTCTCAGCTCTGATTCAGGACATTATGCAGTCAATGCAGTGACTACAGAAATCTGTATTCCTTTTCATTTATTTGTTTGTTTGTTGCCATTGTAGCAGCACAGTGAGTATGTTGTAAATATGTCTGAAAGTGTGAATTTGATGCATTTGTCTCATTCTGTATGTGACCCGGTGAGGAATTGTCAATATGTATATATATGTATATATATGTATATATATATCGCTGTCTCTTGAGAGTAAAGGTATTCATGACACTGTACAAATGACCCTTTCTTTCTGTCAATTAATTATTGCATGTCAGTCACAGAGTCTCTGAGTTTCTTCGTTTGTTTGTGTTTATTTAAAGCATATACTTTATTTGCTTATAAGCAGTTGAGATTCTATAGAAGACATCTTACAGAAAAAACATCTTGTAGACAAGTATAATCAAAATTTATTTCTATTGCCATAAAATATCAGAATTGCTTGTTTTTTAATTGCTTTACAGTTCAAGTTTGACTTTCCCTTCACAACTGACAACTAAGTATGGATACAAAATTATATTTAATAGGATGAAAACTACAACATTATCAGATTTTACCTCACAATCTACAGCATTATGCAGCTTCAGCATTGTACAAGGTGACAATGCAAAGAGAATTGGCTGGTTGATCTGTCAGTCCAGTGCAATTAAACAGCTTCAGAACAAACCAGCCACCAAGACCCAGCAGGACAGCAGGCGCACAGTCAGGCCTGTCATGTTATGGCCATCGCTGCCTGAAGTCACGGTATTACCTGATGCACACAAGAAGAGATGAATTAAGTTTGCTTTTTGAATTATGAAACAATATTAAGATGTATTTATGAGTCTAACTAAAGTATACTCACTGTCTTCTGCATTGGGAGAGTCTTTAATAAAGTAAAAGAAAAATGGAAAGTGAGAAACTTTATAACTTAAGTATTCTTGGAAAATCGCAAGAAAAGAATAAAAATATGTTTCAAACCTTTAGCCATGTAAAGAGGTCCGACTGAAATGGTAGTTGATTCGCTGCTTTCTTTACCAAAAGGAACCAAAGACCTTTTTCTTCTGTTATTAGCACAATTCTGAAAATATTTAACACAAAACATGTGGAAACTATGGATTTATAATATACATGTTAAGATAGGGATGAGCATACAGCCCCAGGGATTTAGTGGCCCAACTGTGAACCACAAAGTGTTGCTGGTGGAAATAACAATCTCTTTCCTGCCAAGTTCTATAAAACCATTAAGTAATATATATTATATATTATTAAATATTGTCTGTGGTATCTTTTCTCTACCATGACTTTATCTGCTGTTTCAAAGAATGCGCTCATTCTTGACTTTTCAACTTACTTGACATTACCTGAATTTGTTGACATTTGCTAGGCTCACAGAGTCTCAGCATGCAGTGCACATAGATGCTGGACTTTGCCTGGTCATGGTGCTGAACAAAGCGGAAGGCCTCAAAGTTAAACCGGGCAACCGTGGAGACGCCATTGCTCGTCACAGTCGTCCTGTTAGCTATATCGCAGCTGGTGGAAAGTGTTTTGTTTTTTTATTAGAGACATGAAAATATCTTAATGTACAGTTACACTGTGCTAGTGTGCGCTTTCTTACCCAGTGAAGAAGTCATACTGCACGCTCTGTGGCATATTGTAAGGAGTTGGAGTAGCAAAACAACGATCCAAGAGTAAATTGAAACTAAAAAAAAAGACAATACTGAATCAACAGGAATGAAGTCTGATGAGTTCGTTATGAGCATCCGAAAGGCATTTACTTACTTTTGTGTCAGATTATCAGCCTTGACCTCCACATATAACTTGGTTCGCAGCTCAAGTCCTGTTGGAGGCACCACTAACGGATAGTTATAGTTAGAGTCCTAGAAAAAGAGTGTCAGAGTAAACCAAGTCATTAGAAACACATCTGATTTGTGTCCTCATAGCTGACTGATAATTTATACCTACGTTAAAAACACTCATTTTGAGTGAATCGATGAAGGTCCCATTATTGTTGCTGGTTGCCACAGAGACTGAGGAGCTAGAAAAAGAATTGAAAACATGCAAAAAAAGACAGAGAAAGATATGGTAACTTTTAGATTTGCTGTATAAATGCGCAATAAGAAACACATCTCTGGAGTAAGTATATCTGGTTCCCCACGCTGTAATCTGTGTATTGTTCAAAAGGTATTGCAGTGGATATCGGCAGGAGAAGTGGTAATAGAGATCTGTGGAGTAGCTGATGAGCCCCTGGTCAGATCTAGGTGTGTTAATGTATCCTGTAACAATAACTGCCTGGATACTCGAGAAGCTGCTGAAGGGACCTGAAGGGTCTGGCATTTCATCTACAATCTAAGAAAGATAGAAAGAGATACGATTGTGGTTCATATATGCTGCTAAACAGTTTCCCAAAACGCAGCCAGATATCTAACATCTGGCAGCTCCATTTTCCAGATATGTGTCATTTTTTGCCAATCTCTCCATTCTCCAATATCCAATAACCTGCAGAGACTGGCGACAGGAGTTATCCTGACTCTGGTTGACAGGAAGCCGGAAATGGACGACCGGAGGGTTCACACTGGTGTCCACAGAGCCCTGGCATGCTGTATTACTGTACTGCCCATTCAGTGCTAGCTCTGTGGCATTGAAGCCAGCCCACTGAACTGTGCATAGGTTGATGTCCAGGGTAATCATGCTGGTGCCACATTGAACCATTAGGTCTGAGTTTTCTGCGCAAGAAAGAAATTTTAAAAACCCTGGGAGTTAAATAGTTGTTTAATTTTATATATTAATAATGTGATTTTTTTTTTTTAATTAAAAGGTTAAATGATTATGATTTAGTGGCTGCCATGTTTAAAGCCTAAATCTTGTACAGCTAAATAAATATCTACCAAAATTGGTCAAAAAGTTTTAAAAAGAGCATTATTTTTGTTTTCTTAATAGCACTGATATTTTATTTGTTGAAAGTCACACAAAAAGTACCTGGGGTCCTTTGATATTCAGAGGAGCAGTTATAGAGGCACCGAACAGGCTGCAAAAGCATCACCAGCAGGGGGAGACAACGGTAAAGAGCCATAATGGCAGTTCCTGTAAAAGGAGTAAAACAACAGTAGCAACAGTTATTTTTATTATTTTATGTGAAAAATGTGTAAATAAGTTGCTGTTTTTCTACTAGATGATTCCAATGTTTATAATAAGGTCTACAATCATGTGGAAAGGTCCGGAGCCACACTTCATTTCTTTAGAGAAGCCAGACGCTTTTGTAATTTCTTTTTAAGTGGTCTTGAGCAGTTTTCTGGGGGGGGGGGGTTTCTTTTAATTTCACTGACCTATGATAATAGTAGATAACCTATCAGAGAGCCAATTTTAAATTGTATCATGCCTGGTATATCACAGTATGCAGTCCTTAAAAAATCACAGGAGGACAAAAGAAGAAGTGGTAGGCCTAAAAAACTATCTACAGCACATGAACAAAATCTGAAAATAATGTCCTTAAGAAATTGGATAAATACAGCAATGACCTGACATGGGACCTGAGAGATGCATCTGGCCCTTTAGCGCATTCATCTACTGTTCACTGAAGCCTCATCAGAAATGGTCTCAGTCGAATTCTGGCTGTCAAGAAACCATTCTCAAGGAAGGAAATGGGGAGAAAAGGATGTTTGCCAATTTACACAAGAACTGGACTGAAAATCAGTGGCATCTTGACATGGAGCTGACCAAAAGGCAACCACCATCCAAAGAAAAGCTTTGAGCTTCAAGAAGCCTGAAGAACTATTCTTGAAGACTACTTAACAATAGATGTATCATTGCACCCATTTCCCATTTCCACATTACTGTATTTTTAAAAAATGACAATTGACTGAATCCTTTTTCACAGTACTGCATATAATTCTTTATTTTAGGAAGAGACCTATGCAACAACCAGAAGAGGGTCTTACCTTGGTGATACCTGAGCAGGTGCTTGTCACAGTATTTGAGATATATGGCTTATATAGTATTCAGGATACATACCACAGTTGCGTGACTCAGTAGCCCTCCCTTTGTCTAATTTTAGACCCCTACACACACACACACACACACACACTTTCCCCTATCTTTGTGTACTGGGACTTGTGTGACACAGCTCCCGCAGGTTAGCTGCAACTGTTGTTTCGGGTTTCTTCCATCAGAAATCATTATCAAAGAGCAGAAGTTAAATATAGCTGTCGGCTGTCGCACCTTCCTGCAATGAGGCAAGTGAGGTTTAAACCTTGATGCAGTGTGCATATTTGGTTGTTGAACTTTTCAACTGACTTCAGACAAAGTGAGCCACGGACACTTTTCTCCCTTACTTAATTTTTCACTATAACTTCTTACAAAAATCAGGCAACATTACTGAAGACCTGCAGGTTTTTCATTATCATATTGCAGCTAATGTTTCTAATAAAAAAATGCCTGAAACACATGCAGAGCAAATGCATTTTACAAAGCAGAACCCAGGCCAATGCATAAATTTAATAACTGAGATCCTCCATCGACTTGCAAATAATTCAAGAATCAGATTTCAAAAGCAAAAGCAAAAAAAAACAAAAAGACTAAACATACATGCTTCAAGAGTGGCTTTATCTCTTGAGAATTATGCACAATGAATGCTTGAGAGGTGATCTTGCCACAACAGCCTATTAAGAACTTGCTGTTAGTTCCCCTTGCATGTCAGACTTATTTCAATCTTGATAGAACTGCATTGCCTATAGACTAGATACCTATAGGCCATAACTGTTACAACTCTACTGAGAACACCCATTGTTCACTAGTAATATAGAAGAAAATTAGCTTAGTGTTCTGCTAAAGAGCCCAAGGTGAAAGAAAACATTTGTCACTCTATCCAGTGTCACTCTGTCCTGATTTTTACCTCAGAGGAAACTTGTTTAGAAAAAATTCACAGGGCATTCTTCCACTCCTTAGTCCTTGTATTGTTATATTTTTTTCCTGCAATGACCTTGACTGCACACATGGTTGTAGTGCTTTTTGATAGAAAGTGTGGTTGATTTATTTAAATTGTTGTGAAATAAATAAATAAATAAATAAATGAAATGAAATCAGTGAATTATGCAAGTAGAATGATTCAGTTCAAATCCGTTTTATTTATATAGCACCAAATTACAACAACAGTTGCCTCAGCACATTTTATATTGCAAGGTAAAGCCCCTATAATAATATACAGAAAACAGAGAACATGATGGTCACATGTCCAGAGGTTAATGGGTCAGCTTTAGCCACCAATGTCTCAAACACTGGACATGTGTGGCTTAATCTTAATATTTAATAGTTTATCTTAATACTTAATGTTTATCTTTATAAAGACTAAGATTAGGTATCAAACCCATTTCATTTAATAAGCTTAACAGAAGCACTACTACTTTAAAATATGTGAATTTTACTGTGAAATGAACTTGCCTGATGCATCATTGCTCCCAGAACAGGGGCTGAAATCAACTGTAGTGTCACCATCTTTAGCAGGGTATGTTTCACAGACCACACAGGATTATCATGACAGTGAGCTCCAACAAGGATTTGTGTGCAGCTTTAATGGCTCCTTTCAACAAGAACTATAATGGTTACTGACATATCACTAGAAAAGTATAAAACCAGGGCACAAGAGAAGGCAAGGATTTAGATTTGGAGGAAAGAAGATACGCTGGGAAGCTTGTGAGAAATTGGTACTGTACTCTGCAGACATGTACTGCAGAGAAAATCCCCAGTGTTACAGATAACCCCTCTGGGTGGGAATATAGAATATCACTTGGACAAGA